AACACTAAGAGATTATTTTTTCTTTCAAAAGCATCTAAACATAGCTCAGGTTCAGCCTAGCATGTCTGATACAGGACTCTAAAGCCTGATCTACACTAAAAAGTTAGGTCTACCCACCTTCATCACTCAAGGGTGTGAAAAATCCACATCACTGAACAGTGTAGTTAAATTGACCTGATTCATCCGTTGACCTAGCTACTGCCTCTTGAGGAGGTGGATTGCCTACACTGATGGGAGAACCCCTCCTGTCCGCATAAGTAGTGTCTACACTAAAGCGCTGGAGCTGTGCTGCTGTAGAATTTCAAATGTGGACACGCCCTAAATTTACGTTTGTTGAGATTTCTAGAATGTCTTTTAAGGCAAACTCCCTGCCAAATGTTGGGAAAACAAGAAATAAGACTGGACACAAAGTAATTTGTAGTGACCAGTACAAAGAACAGAGGGTAAGGATAAATTTGAGCATATTTTCTATTAGGTTTCCTGGCTGCTTACTGACTGAGTCATTTTGGTTTACAAGGCCCCACTTCCAGTGAGTAAGATTAACTCACTGAAGAGAAGGTTCTCTTTGCATAGTTGGGTTGGACCTAAATTTATTTACACCCAGGAAACTGGTAACTGACAGGAGAATCTCTGAAACCACAAAAGAATCAAAGGATTCCCTACAGGAGCTGGAGCTCTGAGATCCAAACTCAGCTCTGGATGAGCTATTTTGGCCAATATGCCAAAGGCCTTCCTCTTCACACCACAATGATATATCTAGGGCCATTTTGCTCAATTTCACAGTCATAGATTTTTAAAATAGTCAATGTCATGGTTTCAGATGTAAACATCTGACATTTCAGGATGTTTTTGCTTGGGATTTTAGAAAATTTACCATTGGGCAGAGCCCTAGTGTGAAATATTTCAGGCCTTAAGAATGAAAGTGCTGCAAGGTTGTAAAGGGACCGAAAACAGGATTTGAATGGAAATCCTTATGCAACTTTAATTATAGTGGTCACTCCCAATAAAATAAGTATTACTATAAAGAACAGCAAAATCCACAGATCTTTTTGGTTCTTGTTTGTTCTGCAACTTTCCATTACTCTCTCCCATAACCCAAATTAGGGAGAAAGATTATTTTTAAAAAATATTCAACTGCTCAAACTGATTAACCATCTTCAAATATTATTATCTTTGTTTATAGTATGTTTATCACTGTGGGATGTAACTTGGTTAGATTAGCTTCTTGGGAGCTGTAATTCCCACCCACCCCCTTGCTCCGATTTGAGATCTACATCTTACTGAGGGCTCAAAAACAAATATATTGCCGCTAACAGGTGTCTATAGAAACTGACAGTGACTAATCGTAATAAGATAACTGAAAAATAACTGTTTTGGTTGAACATTACCCCTCAGTTGAAAGTCTGTTTAACACTAGGGATATAGTATCTTTTGAAAATGACATTTTACAATATCTCTATGGGTTTATTAAAAGCTTACTAGCTTTCAAAATATTAATTCTCTTAAAATATTACTGGAAATCCATTATGGAGTTCATTCCCTGGGAGAAATGTCTCCAAGAACAATTTAAAATAATATTAAGACACAAAACTATTCAAATAGAGCAATACATTATCACAACCTACATAACGAGCTATACTGAAATGTTCCAGTTCTTCAAAAAGCATTATTAAGACAAGTATTTATTGGGCCTATATAAGGTCAAAAGGAGATTTTAAACGGATTACAGAACAGCATTATTGTCAGTTGATGTACAATGCATAAAATACAGAATCTAATCTCTAAATCATACTCAAACTCCCAGCATATAGGCCACATCTGGCCTATTTTATGTATTAATTTAACTCCCATGATAGATTAAGATTGTACACAATTTAAGATTTCTAGCCCTTCTAATTGTGAAGAAAATCTTCCAAATAAGAACTAGTAAATCCCTGTCTTCCCAAGTTTGTATACAGATAAAACAAAGACAAAGGGATTCAAGGGGGAAGTTGCCTCTGAAGCATAAAGACAATTGAACACCACTATTATTAACTACTGTTCTTTTTTCACAGAAACATTTAGCTAACATGCTTATTTTTTGTTCTTAGATTGATGGGAAGGAAAGCTACAACTCTCTATAAGCAAGAAAAACGCTGTACTGTAACAGTCCTTTCTGTTCCCGATTCACCCTCTGACTGAATCCTACTCATGTGATGTTTGCAAAGGGTAGAAAGGAAGAAAGAATGAACAGCTGTTCCTCTTCACTTCTCCTTTCATATTGGATTAGGAAGGTGGTTTTACTTGAAGTTTTCCCTCTAGCCATTAGCATTTTTGGTTGCAATTGCTAATCAGCAGCCATTAGGTGCTTCATCTTCCTTCCCCTCTGCCTTTCCGAGTTAGTGTAGCAGACAGTATGCAAAAAGAGAGAGCTGGGAGGAAGGTAAAGAGAAGGACAAGTTGATCCAAAGCCCAAGGATAGAGAGAAAAAGGCATCTGCTGATGCCACTAATACCTATCCCTTAGGCCTTTGCTGGGGAAGGTGTGATGGATTAGTGTATGTCTGTACATATCTATATCAAAACTCCACCTCAGAGTGAGGATCCCAGAAGTGTTAGCAAAGGGCTAATAACGCAGAGAAATCAAGAGTCATTAACCTGGATGGTCTCCCATTCAAATGGAAACATCCTAAAACAATAAGCTAGCTGCTACCCAGTGGAACTAGTTCTCCTAGGTGAGTATGTAACCAACCATCAGATCACCTGATGAGGAACTCAAAGCCAATGAGGAAAGTCACTTGAATGGGGGGACTGCAACCTTATAATGGGAAGGCTCTCACTAACTTTTGGGAGCGGGGAAGGAGGGAGGAGGAGAAGACAATAATGGTGGTGGCAAGGAGAGTCTTGGGACCCTGAAAGGACTGACCAAAGGACTCCTGGAGTAGTGAGGGCACTGGAAGGAGAGTTTTGCATAAAGGTTTTTGTTATTTTCTATAGAGGTATATCTCATGTGCTTTGTTTGTGAGTAAAGTACAACTGATTTAGCAATTCTGTTGCAAAGTTTGTGTGCCTCTTGCTTTCACTGTTCTCTATTCCCTGAAGAGGGGAACAGTAATCCAGTGGATCCACAACTTCAGTACAACTCTAGAAGCATGCAAGAGCTATGGGGGAGGCTTGGAAGAGCTGGTCCTAGATTCAGGGCCTAGCCAATAGGACTGTAGAATGCTCTCTCAGGAAGGAATACCAGAGAGAGGAAGTATGTCTTGAGAGTGCGCATAGAGGCCTAAAGACAACACCCAGACTCTCTCCATTCTCAGCCAGCCTAAGAGCACATGGGATCCAATGGTTGGATCCAGATAAAGGAGACTAGTGAGTGTCCACCAGACGGAGCTCATCCAGTAATCCAGAAAGATCCACTAGCTACAACCCCTAAGGAACATAACTTTTTGGATTCCACACTGAGGTAAAGATGAGGTATAACAGTTGGGAATAAAACTAAGAGGGGTAAAATAAGTGTTCAAGTTCCTTGGAGGTGTTTGGAGGAGTACAAAGTATCTGCTTCTATATAGGTCCACTGTTCCTCCCTGTGAACTGAAATAGCTGGTCTGGACACTGGGAACTGGATTTGCCTCTAAATATTCAACATCTGAATATTATTTATTCTTGTAAGTTGTGTAAAATTTTAATTTGGGTCTCTAGAAAACCACCAATCACAACAGTATCTAGATATCAGAGTGAGTTGGCACTTGACATGTGAAGTAATAAGTAAACAGCTGTTTTAGTTATAGTAGTTATCAACATTCAATTACCCACCTCTTTGAATAGTGCATGCCAATTTCATTTTTTGAGCTTTGCATGGCAAAAAAGCATTGTATTATTCTATTATTCAAGAAAAGCAAGTTTACCTCAGCTAAAGTAATAAGAAGAGGATCAAATGGAAGAGTTTCAGGAAGACATTCCCACTGTAATTTGTGTTTTACTGAGCCATGAACCAACCTATCAGGTAGAGCAAAAGTTAGTAAATGGGACAGAGAAATAAACAGCATATAACAGTAAATTTCTTTAACATGCTATTCATACCAAAAAGATCTGCAATTGTTTTACAAAAATCACTGTAAAGGTATATATACACACTTCTAATATGCACTGCCTTCCCAGTGAAATGCACAGCCCTATTTGGGTAGAATGCTATAGGTAACTCCCTTCTCTTCATGTGCCAGTATATCTATGCCTGTATTGGCATCTACTCAAACAGGCTATGTGGCCTATGTTGGATCAGAGATCAACCTTAGGTTCTCAAAGTGCTGCTGTTTTGTGCTCTGGAGCCAGGGCCTCTCTCAAGAGGTGGAGGAGCCATTCCCCATCGAGTGCACAGAGGAAAAGGTCACATAAGACCAACTAAGACCACTTCAGGTCCTGTGGAGATTCTTCTGCCTCCTACAGAAAGAGCATGCACTGGCATGCAGGATGGCACAGGTGCCTCTAACCACTCCCCGGGACTGCACAGGAAGAATAGAGACCCTGTACTGTCAACACCAGTTCTGGCCCCAGCCTATCTGTTGAGTCCGGCACCGATGAGGGTAATGCCAGCACGGACTGTTTCCACATTGGCAGCATATCAGTAAGCAAAGGACCACCTTTGCCTTTCCATTCCGACCTCTCCCTTGGTCCAAGACTTTACCTGGGCTACATCATTTATAGCCCCATTGGCTGGGCACACTGCTGAACCTTTGTGTTGGCACCACACCCCAATGTTTCCCTTCCACAGTCTGTGAAAGTGGGGTCAGTGCTGGGCTCGGGGCAAGGGACCTCCTCGGCACCACTGCATCCTGCGCCGCCCATTTTACCGTGGTGGTCTCACCACCTTCCACTTCTGCACCATCAGCTACTTCGGTACCAATGCTGACTTCGGGTTCAACATTGTTCCTGGCACTGGGCATAATAGAGGCATACTCGGTGCCGGTGGTACTGTTTCCACTGTTGGCACCAGTCTCTCCCTCATTTTGGGCAATGGATGAGTTGGACTAGTTGCTCACCTCCTCCGGGCTGGTTCCACCTTTATCCCCAGAAACCTGAGACTCCTAAGCATCAAGGTCAGGATCTTTTTCCTCCCGCTCTCCACTGCCTAGCTCACAGGGGGGCTGTTCATGAAGCACCAGGAGTACCAGGATTGGCACTTGTCTCACGGTTGGCCCTGCACCTGTTGGCCACCAATGCCCTATCCTTATGCCCTGTGGCCTCCATGGAATCCGTGGGATGCTCCTCGGTCGCAAGGGTTGTTCTAAGGTGAGATCACCGGGCAGGTCGGTGGCGGGGACCGCCAATCCACCACAGATTCAGGCACCAGTGAGCCTTCCCATTGTGGAGCCTCTGGAATCGTCCCATCTGGGTCCACAAGGGGAAGGATCTGGCCTTGGCTCTTCTTGGTTCCTCTTCTTTGTCCCTGGATGATTTGGCAGTACTTGGCTCTCTCTTTCCTTCAGTGCCTGAGGACTTCAAGACATACCAGGACCTTTTGCAGCTCGTGGTGGCTTCCTTGGGCATTCAGGCAGAGTTCCTAAAATATCCATAAGTTGTTCAATATCCTGCAGCCATCTGCCACAGGAGAGTGGCCCTCCCTATTAACGATGCACTCAGAGCCTGCAAAGGTTCTTTGGAGCACGCCAGCTTCAATACCTCCTACCACAAAGCATTTGGAGAAACACTACTTTTTCCCAGTGCAGGGAGCTACGGGCTTTTTCTCCCATCCAGCCCCAAATTCCCTGGTTGTAACTGTGGTGAACAACATAGCCCGGCTGGGCAGATTTAAGTCCACTCCTAAGGACAAGAACTCTAAAAGAATGGACTTTCCTGCAAATATGGATTGTGAACCAGCAGCCAATCTCCATTCAGCTGATTGGGTCGCAAACCGCAAGATTGCAAAATGACAAATATTTCACCAGTGAAGTACACCCCAACTCCATCGAAACAGATGCCCTGTCATACAGATGACTGCAAGGCCTGCCATAAATATTTCCACTCCTGGGGAAAGTGAGCCAAAACATAAAGAGAGAACAAACCAATATAATAGTGCCAACTCCCTACTAGCCTAGGAGACCATAGTTTTCCATTCTTATAGAACTGAAACTGGAACCATCATTAGAGCTACTGAGAAGACCAGATATTTTCCAGGCCTTTTCCCCATCAAGACCGACTGGCTTCAACTAACAGCCTGCCTATTGCAAGAGAAGCATTAGCAACCCTTGGTCTGTCCTCAAAATTATTAAGAGCTGGCTCTCATCTAGGAGAGTCTCTCCATTAAAGGCTCACTCCTCCATCTGGACCAATTTCAGCATCTAGTGCCCTAAGCACAGGGTAGACCCAAGAGATCCAGGGATTCCAGCTATTTTGGACTTCATCCAACAGGGCATGGATAGAGGTCTTTGACTCAATATCATAGCATGCCAAGTATCAGCCATTAATAGCATTCTATTCACAGGATCCTCAGGATCCATGACAGACAACTCCCAGGTATCCAGGTTTCTCAGAGCAGTCAGACTGGTTGGACTAGTTGTCAGACCAATGTTCTCAAAATGGGACTACCTCTGGTGATAAAAGCCATAACAATTCACCGATCTGAACTTTTGGTTTCAATAATCAGCATTCTAGCACTCTATCAAAACCTGTTTTCTGGTCGCTATTGCATCTGCTAGATAAGTCTCAGAGTTGGCAGCATTATCTGTGCAGGAACCTTACTGTGTGTTCCACAATGACAAAGGTGGTGCTGAGAACTCCAAAATCATTTCTCACCAAAGCAAACTCTCCTTTCCATGCTTCACAGGAGATTATTCTTCCCTCATTCTGTCCAAGGCCACAGCATCCTACTGAGAAGCTGTTGCACATCTTAGATGTCAGAACAGCAATGAAGTACATAGTTATTGGGTTGGCATTGAGGTTATTGTTACTAGTTTCTTTCTACAAGTTTTGGAATGACTTATTTGGAGGCAAGCAGGAAAAGAGGGCGTGGCCAGCATGAGCAGTGCTGCAACCTAAACTGCCTCTGGAAACTGCAAAGTGGAAGAGAGCAGCCCAAACGTAACAGAGTTGTGGAAGATGCTGCTAGCAGTAAAGAAACTGATCATGTAAGAAATGTTCCATTCCCTGCACCTTTACTGGCAATTGCCTACTCACTAAAATGACACCAAATTCTGTTCTGCCACTATGAGGAAGAAAACATCACTGTATGAAGAAATCAACTGCTTTCACAAAGTAGACTCAAATTAATTCTGTAAGTACTTCACCATTTTTGGAGTGGTGCAGCCTCTACACCTATGTATGATAATAAATAACTAAACAAATGTTGAGTGATTGCTTCCTTTTATCAGAGGGGTAGCCGTGTTTGTTTTTGTGGATACAGACTATGAGGAATCCGGTGGCACCTTAAAGACTAACAGATTTATTTGGGCATCTGAAGGAGTGGGGTTTTCACTCACGAAAGCTTATGCCCAAATAAATCTGTTAGTCTTTAAGGTGCCACCGGACTCCTTGTTTTTGCTTTCTCTTGAGAAGAATTAAATATCAGAGGCACCTTCAGAGATCAGTAAAATCAAGTAGCCAGAGAACATACAAGTCAGTGTATAATTTTCATCCTACACTAACAGTAATGAAGAAATGAGTCTTGATCTATTTAACTGCACCTAAGACTACTGTCTGAATAGATTCAGTTCAATTGTTTTTAAAAATTCATTACCTGCAAGGTATACCACCTTTAGAGTAAATGGCAGAAAACGCAGAAGGAGCTTTTGAATGATCCCCAAACTGGGTGGACAAAAAAGTAAAATACATTATTTACTCACTATCATAATATTTCAGTTATAACCATTATAAATGTACTTTAGTATTGCAGTTTAGAGAGAAATGTGACAAACCATCTTGTGATCAGAAAACAATCGTAAAGGATACTGCAGAGACTGGATGGAAAAAGAATTCTAACATTTAATTAAATAATAAAGTAACCTCACAGCAGTATGTTACTACTGTTTTGTTAAGAAAAATTAATAAATATGATCTTTTCATTTCCCATCCCATTTTTCTACTTTCTCATGCAAGTAGTCCCACTAAAGTCAATGATGGCCCCATGGGGGGAGGGGTCTCTCACATAAGTGGGGAGGGAGCATGGCTCCTGGGCTCTCCATGCTCCCCCAGATGGCACACAGACATCACAAAGCCTGACTTGACTGAAGAGAGGATATGAGTTGGACAGGTGGGGAGGAGAGGAGGAGGAGGATATTGGGACAAAGAGACTGGGAGCCAGTGGGGGTGGGAAGACGGACTGGATGAGGAGCCAGGGAGGAGACTGGGACTTGCTGGGCAAGGAGACTTGGAGCCATTGAGGAGGGGTTGCTGTGCAACCATAATTTGGCCTCCTTGTGCATATATGCTATGATACAATTTTTCCCCACATGACCCCTGCCTCATTCAGTGCATATGACGGACCTGCAGTGGAGATGAAGCAGTGTTGTGCAATGAAGGAGGCTGGAGATAGGACCCCTGCCTAATTTTTTCAGAAATGTAGTGAAGGATACAGAAGATTGGAAGAAGATAAAAGACTGTCTCATAATTAAGGCAGTTGAATGCTACCATGGAGAACTGGATTCTATCCCTGCCTCTTCCTGAGAGTTCTTATATGAGGATGCTAACTGATCACTTAAGCCAAAACTTTTCCTAGATGTTCACTGACAGTGTGTTCACTGATTGTGTGTGCACAACCTGACACCCTGGAATGCTATACACTCACAGCTGGAACTAAAGTCAATGGGAGTTGTGTTTTGATCATATAGAGCAGTGGTTCTCCCTGGGGGTACTCAGAGATCTTCCATGGGGTACATCAACTCATCTAGATATTTGCCTGGTTTTACAACAGGCTACATAAAAAGCACTAGTGAAGTCAGTACAAACTAAAATTTCAAACAGACAATGACTTGTTTATATTGCTCTATATACTATACACGGAAATTAAGTACAATATTTATATTCCAATTGATTTATTTTATAATTATATGGTAAAAATGAGAAAGTAAGCAATTTTTCAGTAATAATGTGGTGTGACACTTTTGTATTTTATGTCTGATTTTGTAAGCAAGTAGTATTTAAGTAGGGTGAAATTTGGGGGTACGCAAGACAAATCAGACTCCAGATAGGGGTACAGTAGTCTGGAAAGGTTGAGAACCACTGATATAGAGTGCTATATAAATTAAGTACTCTGAAAAATCCAACCCTAGGTGTCTCAGATTGGGCATCCAAAATTAGTAGATACTTTTTACTTTAATTTCTTTGTGCCTCAATTCACCACCTCCAAAATGGGGATAATACCACCTCACTTCACAGGGTGTTGTGAAAATAAATTATTGTTTGTGAATCTCTTAGATACTATAGTGATGAGCACCACATAAAAGTATCTGAGAAAGTTAATAATTTTTACTTCAGAGCAGGGTTTTGAATAGTGAGGAACAGAGAAAGTTTAGTGTCACATGTTTAACAACAAGACTAAAAAATAATATCAAATACCTGCTCACTCAATGACCTTGTGAATTCTGTGCACTGAATGAACCAGGAGTCTTGTGGAAAAAAATAGTATGCGATCATGTAATTAAAGATTGTATCATAAAGCACACACATGAGGAGTCTGATTAAGATTGCAATCTGCCATTTCCTACCTCTTGAGTGATTGATTTTGTAATGTTAACTAAATTTTAACATAATTTTGTGTTTAATTTCACTGTATGTTGGCTTGGATAACAGTGACTTGATGAAACCATGATATTTTTCACAAAAAGAGATGCTATTTTAATAAAACTGTTCCTTCTGGACAGAAGCTTTCAATTTTTAGTACTGGCAAGTTGGCACCTTTCATAAGCATTACGAAGCATTGTAGTCTCTCACTGGCTTTCCATTCAGCCTATGGTGGTACCTAGTTTAAGCTGGTAAGCTAACTCACCAGCGCATGCACCACAGAACAGTCTCCAGCCATAAGATTTCAATCCCTTTTTCCTCAGGGTTTCGGCTTTATTGCTTCAAAACAACACAAGTTCAGTATATTGAATACTTCCCTCTCCACTAACCCAGAGTCTTCTGCAGGGGCCTAACTACTCCATGACCAAGTCACAGCAAGCCTCTCTGCTCCCATCTAATTCATAGGCTGCTCCTTGCAGGATTACACTCTACAGGACTATTACCTGGAAATTTCACATGAACTGGGCTCTCTCCCTTGAGCCAGGGACTCCTGCTCCTTCCTACTCCTGTCAACTGTCACCAGCAACTGACCTATTTGCTGGCTTTTATGAGTACTAGATCTTCCAGCTATCACCTGATGTCTGCCTCAGCTGGGAGACAGCTGATCAGTCACAGGTGAGGCTAGATCCATCTCCTCTTAAAAGGAGTGACAACTACCTTGTATTGAAAACCCTTTAGCCTTTTGCGTGTGTGCGCGTGCGCACGTGTGTTTCTTATTTTTTAAAAGGAAAAAACATAAGAGAAAACGGAAGTATTTCTAAATAGAAATACCAATCCTAGAAATGGAGAGGTTGCTGTCAAATACCTTGTGAAAAGGATAAGGAATTAGATACTGTTTACCTCAGGCATTAGGGCTGGCAGATCTTGGAGAGTGAATGATTAATAACAAACGTTAAGAATCTAAACTCACAAATCAGATGAAGTGTCTCCAAGCATAGAAAACATATTCCTATTATGGAAAAAAGTGCTTTCTACAGCAATTCTCAAGTAAGGAAGAAGATAGTCTTGAAAATGATGCTGATACTCACAATAGCTTTGCCCACTCTTTCTAGATCATGTTACCTCAGAACAGTCAGGGCTGAAGGTTTTAACAGAAACAATCATAGGTATCCTATCCACTTATTCTGTCAGTCTAATGCTGACATTCAGTGAAGACAAGAATCTTAAGTATATTGGCACTACATTTTTTTTGCCTTAAAACAAAAAAGTAATCTCTAATCTAACTTCAAGAAAAATAGAACTTCCCCAAAGTATTTCCTAGAGCATATTTTTCAGAAAAAAAATCCAATCTTGATTTTAAAAATGCCAGTGATGGAGAATTCACCATGAATCTTGGCAAATTGTTCAATGGTTAATCAATCTAACTATTAATGTCCACTTATTTCCAGTCTGTATTTGTCTAGCTTCAACTTTCAGATATTGAACTGTGTTATACCTTTCTCTGCTAGACTGAAGAGCCCATTATTAAATATTTGTTCCCCATGAAGGTACTTATAGACTGTGATCAAGTCACCTCTTAACCTTCTCTTGATTAAGCTGAACAAATTGAGCTCCTTTAGTCTATCAGTGTAAAACATGTTTTCTAAGCCATTAATCATTATTATGGCTCTTCCTGCACCCTCTTCAATTTGTCCATGATTCAGTAAGAAGGTTGATAAAGTATTCCTGCAGTGGTCACATCAATACCTAATACAGAGCCAAAATAACCTCTCTACTCCTACTTGAGATTCCTATTTGTATGCATCCAAAGATTGCATACTTTGGCCACAGCTATGGGAGTTCATGTTCAGTTGATTATCCACCATGACCCCCAAAGCTTTCTTGGAGTCACTGATTCCCAGGATAGAGTCCCATATCCTGCAAGTATGGCCTATGTTCTTTGTGTCTAGATGTACACGTTTATATTTAGATGTATTAAAATTCAGTTACTTCAGCTACACCTCTACCTCGATATAACGCTGTCCTCGGGAGCCAAAAAATCTTACCGCGTTATAGGTGAAACCGCATTATATCGAACTTGCTTTGATCCACCAGAGTGCGCAGCCCCCCCCGAAGCACTGCTTTACCGCGTTACATCTGAATTTGTGTTATATCGGGTCGCATTATATCGAGTAGAGGTGTATTTGTATGTTCAAAATTGGCAACCTCTTTCTTCAGGAATAATAACCGGAAAGAATGCAGTGTCAAAATTGATAATTATGTCCAGCAAGTTTTGACAATCACATTTAGTAGATATTTGCAATAGGTCAGCACCAAACTAGAAATCAATGTTGGTAGTGATGTTCAAAATCAATACCTCAGTAAAAAATAGTGGAATTTCTAACACATCTTGGTGCTATTGTTTAAGTTTTTCAGGCTGGGTGAACAAGACATAACCTTCATATCATAAACAGATCCACTGTTGTTTCTGCAATTGGAAGGGCTTGCAACTTATTTTTGAAAAAGTTTACATTCTGGAAAATATAGGACAATATAAAAGAAGAACTAAACCCTAGAAAACCATAGATCTTCTGTGATAAAAGATTTCTGCTGTCCCAATTGAATGCCATATTTTTTGTGACTCTCTCACTCTCTGTTTGGCCCTACTCATTTATGTTGGTACAGAAGGTTGGCTGTTTCCAGGAAAAAGTGATTTGTTTAGAAATACCATCTCTACATACCGGATCAATAGTTTTGGGGTTAAGTTTATCACTAGGCCTTGGTTGTGGCTTAACCGCAAGATCTGGAGAACTAGATGAAGGAGACGAAGATGTCTTGCTTTTCTGTACTGCAGTCTTTGGTTTTATTTGGAAACCTGATGACATTCTTTTATCATAAATTCCTAGAATGAAAAAAGGAATCAAACCTAAAAACAGAGTTCTCATTCCCACTTGACATCAAATTAAGAACTTTAATCCTGATTTTTGTTGTGCCCAAATCTCACATTCTTGGGTGTGCAAGGAATGCAGGAAATATGAACCAATGCATATAAATCATGTATTGCTGAACACCCAAAACAGTATAGGGTACATATCAATCACTCCATTTTTCAAACACACACCTCCACATCTCTTTGTTTCCTGCATTGTTGTCCTTTACCACTCTGCTAGAGTGACACCTGCAGCAAAGTGAAATTGAGTTTAGTCAGTTTCACTCTGCTGCGAGTGCCCACTTAAAGCACAAAGCTGTTCTCTGGAGGGAGGAAGGGAGGGCGGATACAAATACAACAGAAGAGGAAGCAAAAACATTGGAAAGGATGGGAAAGATGGGGAAAAAAGTGAATTTAAGTGCAAGGAGTGATTAAAAAATATTCTGAAATAGAGCAAAATCAGAGGACAATAAATAGGGAGAAAGATAGAAATGAAGAAGAGCAGATAGACAAAATGGGAAAAGAACAGAAAATGAAGACAAGATTTCAAAAAAGATTTCAAAAATTAGCTTTCTGAATACAGAACACTTTAAAAACTAACAATTAGAAAACATGTACATATTATTAAATTATTACATAAACAAAATATTCAAAGTTTCAAAAAAATAGTTATAATGCAGAAAACACTACTCTAGTATATTTTTAACAGAGGAAATTGTATTTGTAATTTAACATATCAAATCTTCAGTATGAAACTTTAATGAAGAACCCAGATTACTACTGAGGAAAGATATACAGTCTCAGATATCACCTCATACTTAAAGAAAGATACAAGAATAAAGATTTTCAGAGTTACAAGTTCTTCAGAGATACAGGTTTTTTTTTTTTTTTTTACACAAAAATATTTAAAGGTGATTTAGTGACTTATACAATTATTTAATTCAAAATGAATTTCTATTAATTGTGTTGGTCCTGCTCAGATAGTCCAAGTTCCCTTGCTCATAGTGTACATTGTTAAACGACTCAATCATTGAGTCACTGTCTACTGAGAAAACATTTACCAAAATCAATTCTAGTCTTGATTTACACCTTGGATTCTCCTTCATGTTTTTTCTTTTTTTTCCCCTCAGAATTCTGGCATTCTATGACTAAGGCTCCGTGTTTGTCACAGAAGTCACGGAAGTTACGGATTCCATGACTTTCGGTGACTTCTGCAGCAGCCCCATGCAGCTGGCCTGGGAACCACCTAAGCAGCTCAGGCAGCCCCTGGGCCAGTTGACTGTTTGGGCAGTCAACCCCTCCTCCTCTTCCCTCCCCCCCCCCACTCCAGCAGCAAGAGTTTGGGTGTGGGAGGCTCAGGGCTTGGGGTGTAGGCCAGTGCTTCCCTGGAGGTGGGGCTCCCTTCTCTCAGCTCCCCTAGCTCCAGATGCTGCCTCTGCTGGCAGCCTGGCACCGCCCCCGCAGCTCCCAGCCAATGGGAGCTGCAGAACCAGGGCTTGGGGCGGAGCAGAGGCAGCACATGGAACTAGGGAGCTAGGGCCACTGCTTCCCAGGAGCTGGGTAGGGAGCCTGCCCCGGCCCCACCAACACCGCCCCCCTCTCTCCCCAGCACCTGTGCCCCCCTCCACAGCACCCGCGGCGCCCCCCCCCAGGCCACGACTCGCCCCCCGAGCACCCACGCCCTCCTCCCCAGCACCCCTGAGCCACACCCCCTCCCCAGCCCCCACGGGGGCCCCCTCGAGTATCTTCCCCCCCACCCAGTTTTAGTTAAGGGTATTTTTAGTAAAAGTCATGGACAGGTTACAGGCCTGTTAATTTTTGTTTACTGCCCGTGACCTGTCCATGACTTTTAAAAAATATGAATGCATCCACTGTATTAAAGCTGGCAATGATTCCACAGATAAAAGTGACATTACCATGTAACAAAATTATTTGATTTTGTACATACAGTAGATCTTCAGAGTTACAAAAAATCAGAGTTATGAATTGACCAGTCAACCACACACCTCATTTGGAACCGAAGTACACAATCAGGCAGCAGAGACATCCCTCGCCGCCCCCCCCCCCCAAAGTAAATACTATACAGTACTGTGTTAAACGTAAACTACTAAAATAATAAAGGGAAAGTTTAAAAAAATATTTGGCAAGGTATGGAAACTGTTTCTGTGCATGTTTCATTTAACTTATGACGGTTAAAAGCAGCATTTTTTTTTCTGCATAGTAAAGTTCCAAAGCTGTATTAAGTCAATATTCAGTTGTAAACTTCTGAAAGAATAACCATAATGTTTTGTTCCGTTACGAACATTTCAGAGTTATGAACAATCTCCATTCCAGAGGTGTTCGTATCTCTGAGATTCTACTGTAACTTGCTAGTGCAAATTTATTACCACCAAACTTCTTATTACCACATCATACTTAACGTATTTCTCCAAATGCCAGAATAATTGGTCTCTGAATGGTTTCCATATTATAAAAGCTCCAAATAGTAAAACAACAAACTTTAAGATTAACATTATACTATGTCAGGCAAACAATTCAATATTGCTCTTGGTGCCAAACTTCAAAATCTACATTCAGCCATAATGATGGTCTTCTTGCTAAAAAGTAACATTAGCAATAAAACAAGAAACCATATTTAATATGAGAAATGTGGAATTTATTTTCCTCAAAGCATAGCATTCAGGAAGTTCACATAATTAGAAGCATGTTCCACTAGGTAGCAAGCATAGTGAAAATACAGTATTTGCAATCTATTTTAATATAGTGCACCGATCATTTAGTTTGATATTGTTAATTAGTTTAACATTTGAACATGTGCTTGCAGATTGTTGGAAGAGCACATTTTAGAAGAAAAATATTATAATGTAATAACTAGCATGGTCATCCATAGTAAGACACTCTAAATCACTTTCTCTTCTGAGAATTAATTAAGCCACATGATAAAGATTTCAGCAGAGAAGAAAGTAGGCAACAACAAATTCTAATATTCCAGATGTAGTGACCTTACCAGCAAAGAAGAATAAGATTTAAAATAAAATATGTGGCTATGAAAATTTCAGCACCTGGGGACAAATCAAGGTTGGAGTTACGGAACATAGTAACAGAGTTAGAATTACAAGAAGGGGAGGAGGAAAAAAGTACTTTACCCAAGAAGACTTCAGTCTTTCTACCACTCAATTTGAAGTTATCAAGCAGCCAGGAGTTGATTGCACAATAGAAATGTATAAATAACGCACATTTAGGAAAGATCAGAGAGCAGAGGTACAGTGAGATGCATAGAAGTGATGTCTAAGATTAAACTAGAAATAAAAGCATCCCAATGGTAGATAACAGGCCTAAGTTAAAAATCCTTAAACAGAAATAAAACAAGCAAGCATGAGGAAAAGTTTCAAAGCAGAAGAGGAGAGTTAAGGTATGTCTATACTTACCTCCAGCGGAGGTCGATTTATCTACACATGTCACACAGCACCCTCATCCCTATTCATGAAAAATAACCTAATAATCTGGGAAGTGGGAGAAGTTAAGGAGCATTTCAGGAGTTCGGGAAAATAAGGTGGAGGCAGAGTGGGAAGCAGTATTGCTTTCTGCCCTTCTCCACCTGAAGAACCTTCTGTGGTTCACAAAGCAGGACTCCCATCTAATTGGCCACAGAAGAGTCATCAGATGGAAAGGGGATGCTTCAGGTGGGGCTTTATGTCTAGGAGTTGTATATGCAGAGGAGTGAAACTATAAGGTCAGGTGGAGAATTATAGTTCTATGGAGGCATAGAGAGGGGACTATTGGTATATGGAACATATGAGGAAGTTAAGGTCTATGGAGTGCACATGCAGGGGATTATGTAATGAGTACGCATTCTCTATACAGCATATTTGAGTGTTAGATTTATAGGAGATACACCTCTATAACGCTGTCCCCGGGAGCCAAAAAATCTTACCGCATTATAGGTGAAACCGCATTATATCGAACTTGCTTTGATCCACCAGAGTGTGCAGCCCCATCCCCCTGGAGCACTGCTTTACCGCGTTATATCCGAATTCGTGTTATATCGGGTAGAGGTGTATATGCAGAGTTATATGACAAAAACAGCAAGGGTATCTACAGGAATGTAAGCACAGCTTTGGGGGCGTATATGTCATATAGGTCTATGAAATTTTTGCATGGTTCTATGGAAATTATAGGTCTATGTACAGGGCTGCATAGGAAATGTAGGCAGCTGAGGGTGTATGCACGGTACAGGGGAGAATGTGTTGCATGGGTCCATAGGCTATGTGTGGGGCTCTGGAGGGGTATGCAGGGTTACAGAGCTATAGGGGGCATTTTCAGGGATCTGTGGGGTATAGACCAATGGGGGTGTATGCAGGGCTCAGGAGAGAGATGGGATTTGGGACTGTGAGGATGTTTGCAGGGCTCTGTAGGATGTGGATAGGGCAACCAAATGTCCTGTTTTGGCTAGGACGGTCCCTTTTTTTAAGCCCTGTCCCAGCCATCCCGACTTTTTCGGCAAAAGTGGGTATTTGTCCCATTTGCTCTTGCCAACTTGATCAGTCGGCAAGAGCAAACAAGACAAATGTCCATTTTTGTCAAAAAAGTGGGGTGTGGAGGAATGTGCTGGGGGACAAGCTGTGATACCAGCTCCATGCAGGGAGGGAGTCAGGGCTTGGGCGGGGACCAGGCAGGGCTTGGGTGAGCAGCAACGCCAGACCCACACAGTGGGGGCTCAGGCAAACAGCTTGGGACAGCCCCACGGGCGGAGGCGCACTTGGGCCGGGCCCATGCTGGGTGGGGGGAGGAGGGCTAGCCTCATGTGGTGTCCCATTTTCCCTTTGGGAAATCGGGACACCCTAGATGTGGGTCTATGTGGCCGGGTGTTTGCAGGGTTCTGGAGAGGGTGTGCGGTTCAAGTCCATGGAGGATGCAGGGTTCGGGTCCCTAGGAGTTTTTAAGGGGCTCTGCAGGATGTGGGTCCACGGGGGTGTCTGCAGGGCTCTGGGTGGGATGCAGATTCCAGGCCGCGAGGGGGTGTCAGCAGCGCTCTGGGGTAGTGGCGGGATTCGAGTCCATGGGGGTGTTTACAGGCTCTGGGGGATGTAGGGTTGAAGTCCCTGGGGGTGTCGGCAGGGCTCTGAGGTGTTGCTGGGGCTCTGGTCTATGGGGGTGTTTGCGGGGCCCCAGGTCCGTGGAGGAGCGAGGCTCGGTCCGTAACTCTGGCGGTTACAGTCTGTCGGCGGAGGAACTCTCGGACGAAGCCCCCAGCCCGCCAGAGTAGCGCTGCGCGCCGCCACCCTTACCAGGTCCGCCAGACGCCGGGGTTGCGCAGCTACTCGCTCACAGCGACACCTCCCGTCCCGTCCCGTTACTAAGGAAGCTCTGCTGTGTCTACGGGCTGCGGAAAGGCCAAACTTCCTGCGAAGCGACCGCAGGCGGGGCTGGGGACCATGCGCGGATGTGGGCGGGTTCGGCAATTCGCGGGGTGGGGCGGGGGATGTTCAGTCACGAATCTCCCCCCTCCAGTTCCGTGCTATAGTCCCGTCCGTCCTAGCCGCGGGGCCGGGCTGCTCGCCCACACTCACCCTGCCGGGGCGGGGCTCTCTCCGTGCCTCAGCCTGACCGCCCTCTGCACTGGGCAGGTTCCCCACCAGCTCAACAAAGCCTTGGCCTGGTTCTGGGTATAGGGCGCCCGTGTCCTTTCCTCAGCTCTGTTGCATTGCAGTCATTATCCCCGCTAAAGAGTTATTGCCCTGGGCAGCTAATGGCACCTCGCTCAGGCCTGTCCCCACCAGCCTCGCAGCTCCCTTTTGGGCTCCTCGGCGTAATCACTGGCTGTAGGATATTCTCCCTGAAGTCCTAACCTTGCAAGGATCTGGGCAAGAGCCCCTGTGCCCATGCAACGCCCACACATGCCCGGGCTGCTGCTAACAAGAACCACTGGGAAGTCAAAATGGATGAACGCGGGGCCTGGGTTTCTCGTTTTATTCCCACCAATTTGTTCCACCAGACCAGATGGCAATTTTAAATGGGATGAAAATAGGGTGCTAGTTGAACGAACTAGCCATTGCTGTCCAGTATCAGAGGGGTAGCCGTGTTAGTCTGGATCTGTAAAAAGCAAGAGAGAGTCCTGTGGCACCTTTAAGACTAACAGATGTATTGGAACATAAGCTTTCATGGGTGAATGCCCACTTCGTCGGACCATTGCTGTGTGCATTGGTTCTGTGTCCAAAGCCCAATGACTCATTAGAAGTCATCCTGCAGTGTTAGAAACTTTAATTGTGTTGTCTGTCAAGCTACCTTAACTGTTCATAAAGAAAAAGTATCAAGGAACAGAGGATGCATCTTGAACAAATCAAAACTTAAATACTTGACTTCCAGCTTGTAGATGCACATCTATGGGAAGAAAGGTTAAAGGAAAGAAAAAGGAAGACTTTCAACATATGCTGTGCTATATAGTTGTGACTTGAATTAGGCTGGTGAAGCCGAGCTCCCATTTTTTCTCCAGTAGGAAGACAAGATAAGACCAGTGACTGGGAAGTATTTTTAGTTTAATTTTATTTTTTAGCTACAGAGTAGCAATTTGCAGACCAGGATACACATTCTATTTGCAGGTACTTTTGGATAAAAACATTCCAATATAGATATTATCTGAGCCACCAGTTTTATCTTCTAGCTAACAGTTCTCAGTGTATCAACATTTGACAGTTATAAGTTTCAAACAATATTTGCTGGTAAGCCTGTGTAGTGAGTAACCTTTCCAGTGAAGACTACAATTTTTCTTTCCCAACAGACCGAATTAGCTATGGCATGTTAACTGCTCTTTAAGAGATACACCTCTACCCCGATATAATGCAACCCGATATAACACGAATTCGGATATAACGCAGTAAAGCAGCGCTCCGGGGAGGGCGGGACTGCGCACTCCGGTGGATCAAAGCAAGTTTGATATAATGCTGTTTCAACTATAACACGGTAAGATTTTTTGGCTCCCGCGGACAGTATTATATCGGGGTAGAGGTGTACATTTGTTCTTGAACACATGCCAGTGAATTCCCCAAGTAGGAGACTTTTTTTGTTACTTAAATTGTGAAAGGTGTGTGTTATTCCTTGAACATCAGTAATACACAGTGAGGGACTTTATAAGACTTAAAAAGAAATTGGATTAGACAACCTATTCAGTTGGTTTTCTGCAGTAATAGATGGGAAAAGGCAATAGCAATGCTGAAACATAGTTATGGCCTGTCTGACAACTAACACAAGCCCTAGATTTTGGTCAGCGCTGGCATTTTGGAATAAGCTTTATCCAACACAAATGATTTATATCTTCCAATGACTGAAAGTTGGAGAGAAAAACATAAGGACACATCTTTTAACTCATTTGAAACACACTGACTGAGGAGAGGTTTTTATACCGAAGAGGAAGATGATAACAATTCTAAATAAAAAGAAAATGGTCCATCCCAAAGTTCCAATTCCTAAATGTTTAGCTGAAACTAATCAGAAAGTCTAGTAACTGCAGGTAACTGCTTCATGGCTCCACATTATTTAGGGAAATTTTAAGTTGAGGCCTAAATTTTCAAAAATAGTAAGCAACTGCCCTCTGAAAACTAGATTTCTTTAAAATGCCTCAACTTGAACACCCAGATTCGCTACTAGAAAATGTAGGCTTCAGTTTTTATCCTCATTAAGAGTCAGCAGTGCTGCCTTTCTGAGCCATTATTCTTTTTTGCTTGGTGTTGGTGATATATTTTTGTACTGAACAGCATTATTTCTGTAACAACTGCTTGGGATGACACCACCATCTATAGGTATACAATCTCTCTTGCAAAGGGAAAATTGCTTATTACAAGGCAAGGCAAACTTCAATTAAAAATCCTGTGTTCAGGAAAACCAAAGCATCACTGAGGTTCTGCCTAAAGCACAACATAGCTTTCCTCATCAACAATGCTAGAGATGAGATAACTATTGTGCTATGACTATTTTCTGGTCATGTAGGAATTCTTATTGCAATCATTTTAGAATAGGTTATAATCATTTATAAAATTACCTGCATTCTTTAACATTCGCATTCCAAAGCCATTATATTTTATGGATATTTTTCTAATCTATGTTATTTTTCATGAATCAGAAAAATGTTTGGAAGACACACATGGATGCCTTCAGACAATTTTGTTTCTTCGCATATGATCTTTACTGTGGTATATTGAGGACTGTGTTGGAACTGTAAGCCATTGCTTTAAGAGTGGGGCTGTGAGGGGAGTGGCAGGATGGACTCCAAAGACTATATCTTTCTCTTGAAGAGCTTACAAAATATGGCAATTGACACAGGAACTGCAATTTGGCTCTCTGACTGAAAAGTATACAAACTAAAAAAACTCCAATTTGGATAAGTGAATGCACCGTGGGTAATATTACATTTAACTGAGGTTGGTAGATATCTCTGCAAAGTCGAAGAGAATGAGTTAGGGGGAAAAAAGATGGGAATATGAATAATTGCAAGTAATCTCCTGGGGGCGGGGGGAGGGGATGTGTATGTTTGTGTGTATACACACAGAAAGTCATGCAAATGCAACCCAGTATTGGAGCCACTTCTTATGTACACAACTCTTTACTTTGTGCAGGCTAATGCTTTACTTGCTTTCTCATAATGAGTAAGATATCTGGCCAGACTTAAAGTGACTGATAACTGCCTATACAGTACAATTGTAGACATTCACTTTAGTAGAAATAAACTGTGTCAATAAGGACACAACTTGCAAATATCAATAATAAATGTGTTCTTCATTTAACCTGTACACCCATGAGGGCAACTGCACTGGAGTGGGGATTCATTACACTGCCTTCAACTGGGGAAAACACTACCACAACTACCTTCTGCAAAGGAAAAATACCATTAATTTACAGCCAGGGACCCATAAAAATCCCACTAATGGAGATTACCTGATAGATGTACTGAATCAGTGCATCCTTGTGGTGCACTGGACATGTTCCTTTCGAAGCTGGCTCAGCTTCAGTTCACTCATCAGAGGAGAGAGTACAGGAAGCTTGGCCATTTCACCATTAGTGGGGATGGAGGCACAGCACAGCTTGCATTTCACTAGCAAGAGTCAAGCCTTAAAGTATTTTGTAGTACTCCATTTAAAACTATATTTGTACAGATTATTTTAAAGAGCTTTAAACAACCTTTCCTCCAAAAATTATTGGTTACGTATCCTGCAAGCTTCCCCCCCCCCACACACAATGGGCAAAAGTAACACAATACATATTACAGTACAGCCTTGCAAAACTGTCATGAAAATTTATCAGCCCATCTGCCCTTTACAATCAAGAATGAAGGCAATGGGAAAAATATTTATAATTTTCTCACCCATTAAAATATGCTTACAACATTTTTATATGAATTTAATTTTGTGTTAACTTTTTTTTTGTCGGGGGAGAAGAGACTGCTTGGACAGCACCTAGCATAATTTGGCCTCAGTCCCTGATTGGGATCTCAAGGCACTGTACAACAGAGCCAAATATGTTTTCCCAACTCCCCCCACTCTCCATCATTCCCTGATTCTCCTTTCCCCCAGTTCTTATAGGGAAAACACACTTTTTTTAACTAGTTAGAAATTTTCTCTAGCTTCAGGAGACATGCACTGATTTAAATGTAACACTTTTTATTTAGGTAACATTCAAATTTCATCTCAGCATGGTTATCCTGGACTAACTGCACAGAGTAGTTTGAGACTAAAAAAAATAGAATATAGGCACATAATTGTGCAAAGGTTTAGATGCGCAAGACACATTCATCTTCAAACACAGTACCAGGCAGTTCAGCACCTGTTCAAAAGTGGTGGAGCTGTGGTGAACATGAATATAAATTTTCAAGGAAAATTGGTGTAGAAAAGTGCCATTCTAGCTGAGCAATGCTAGATGACTACAGTCCCTGGGTATTAATAGATTGTCTAAAACATTCAATAATATAGCTGGCATGACCTGATTATCTATTATGAGTGGCTACGATGCTATGAGAGTTTTGGATTAGCGGATCAAAGTCCCTTATAAAACTCAGGAGGCAAACTTCTGGGGAGGAAATTGATCCATAGCGATGCTTTAATCTTTCGATGTTGCAAAGTAAGAAATGTACATGCCTGTATGACACACATACAGATTTAAGATCTGAGTGAGAAGTTTAAGGGCTGTGATGGGGTGCACAAGTCTTTGATATCCCAGTGGGCGTACTCTCCAGACATAATGTTTAATGCAGTATTCTTAACCTAAGAAGGAAGACCCTACAAAGCCAGATACTGGCATGGGTATTTGAGGAGAGGAATGGGGTGGGGGGTTAAATCCCAGCAGGGGTGCAGACCTGTGTTCCCT